ATTTATACTATTAGCGTATGCATTCTTTTTTATTTAATCTGAAATTTTTATTAAGATTAGTGCATTTGACTTCCCCCCCCCATCAAGAAGAATTTTTGAAAGTGCTATCATTTAAAAACCATGGTATAAACTGGACGTTTGAAATGAGATGCCTGAAACTGACGCGTCAAGCGTCAAAAGTTGAAATTGAGTCAACTCACGCGGTGTCCGGCCATCTGGCAAATGCCGCCTCTGAACTCACTTCTGATTGGTTAACGCTTTACACGCGAACGCGTGACCGCGTTGGTGTGAAAGCAGCTTCACGCTTGTCAAACTTGGCTAACTCTCGGTTGTAGCTATTCCGGCCTTCAAGGGGAGCGCCTTTGGACACCGGCTCTGGTTTGAATATTTCCTCAGAACACACTTCGAAAGCTCTTCCTTTTTCCATAATTAAACCTTCAACCACACACTTCCACCGTAAATAATTTTGAGATTCTAAACATTTGTCTGCAGTAAATTTTCAGGATTACTAAGAAACTCGTTTTCACTTCTGAGAAACTCGCACGTTTAGGCATAGCATTAAAATTTCTTAGATAAAGTCGTACTGGCGGTCATAACCTCTTAAAGTATTGCTACGAATTTTATATTCAAATAATAGCTAATTTTAGTAGAATTATAATTAAAATTGTTTTATTTCCCCATGCAGTGCAGCGCGAGACAAATTTTAAGAGAAAGCTATGCCAGAAAATTAAAAACATATTAGCACGTGCATTTAACATTGAGTAAAAGTTTATCTCGGTAATTTATATGTAAATTGAATAAATGTAATTGAACACTATGGTAGCTGTAACCGTAATTCAACTCTTTTCGCTTTCCAGAAATCTCGAGATACAGAAATTACTATAAATTTCTCGCCACCGATTGAAAGCTATAAAAGGCCGGAGAGAAAACATTTGAGTTCACCTTCTTGGTTTGCGGAAATACAATTATTTATGCGGACCTAAACATCAAGCCTATTACGGAACAAATTCTAATGGAAGCAAATAGTACCTATCATTTTGCCGCACCTTGTACTTCAATAACAATTCAAACTCCAACAGCCATGGGTTCATTTATTAGACTACAATCATGTACGTGATGCAACGTTTATATGGAATGGATCGCTCGAAACATTTACGACCTATTAGTAGCAAGTTATTTATGCTCAGAGTTATCCAAAAATTTTAGGAATTAATTTCGAGAACTTACGAGAAAACACAACGGACGATTAGCTGAAAATTTGCTGGATGTCATATAGAAACGTCGTGACACTCAGGGCTGTCAGCACATAAACCAACCATACCGGATAAGAAACCGTGGAAAAACCCATTTTCCTGAATGGATAGCCTTTTCGAAAATTCTCCTGCGGAACATTCCCTCATAGTGCCATTAGTGCTCGACAGTACATCTCCATATTGTTTGTTTTGAGCACTGGATTACGATTTAATCTTTAAAAAAAACTAATATTAATAATGAATTGTATCAAATGAATGAATGTACTGTTACTATTAGATTACATTTTTAGTGCTCTAACGTGTGACAAGTTTAATATACATATTGCAACTTTTTGGAAAAAGAATGAAGGACGGTTACAATTTTTAAGTGTACGCTAATTCCATAAATATGTATTAATCATGAGTTTACTCGAAGCTCATAATAACAAAATCCTCCTAACAAATGAAATCTTGAGAAATTAAAATCTTTCATATTAAGACGGAGACATTATTCTTTTATTATTTAATGTGAATTATATACGTTTATGCTAGGCAGAGGCAACTCGAAAGCATGAGATAAAATCAACTTCAGCATGTATTAACCCTCTGGCTGATCATCCCGCGATTTCCATGGGCAACTCAAATGTAGCAAAATCTGCTCCTCGCGCGATTTCCTCGGGCATGTGTTTTTCTTCCTTTATTGAGGAGCGCATCCCGTTTAACCCCTGAAATAAATTATATACAACATTAGACGTTTAGTGTACGTTTTGACCAACAGATATCATTAGTTGTCCACTAAAATGCGGCATTTGAAGGCACGTGGTATTACCGCTCAAACTCCACATTTTGCCGCTTTTTTCTTACAGAAATGCTGCTAGAAAACATTCAGCAATTATCTTGATTATTTAATTAAATTATTGAATTATTAATTAGATTTATTGAATCTGGTGCAAAGACCGTTCAGTTAGACTTTGAACCTGTTTTGAACTCTATCATACTAAACTGTATTTCTAAGGTATTTTTTCTTCAGTGCTTTATATTTTCTTAAATTTTATACTTTTCCTTTTTATATTATGCAATAAATATAAATTAACTGTAATTCGACCGAAATTTATTAAAAAACATTTGGGGGATGACAACATCTGAAATTGTTTTTTCTGGCAGCTTAGTTTCTCATGATAAAAATCTATATAAAAAAATATTTTCTAGAAAGGAAAATGCATTTTTCAATTTTCTAATATATGTAGATTTAAAATATGCAAAAAAAAATTATACAATTTTTGAAGCGATTTCGGTCTACAGGGTTAAAATTATTACGGATATATCCAAAGAAAATTAAAAGATTTTAAAATTAGACTACTGAAAATTTGGAACAGACGAATAAGGATAAATATCAATGAATTGTTTAATTTCTTATAGTTATGAAATATTTTTTACGTTTGTCAAAATTAATCAGCATTTACCAGAGAAAAACATTCTTTTTTTTATATACATGTATAAATTCAGCGAAAACTATTACTGTGGTGATAAAATTCCACGATTTTTTTTACATATAATAAAATACTGGAAAAGAAGTCAAACAGCACAGTTAATGAATTTTTTTAATGCTTTAATATTTTTAATGTTTTAATGTTAATCTAGTTTTAAGAATTTATATATGTAACATTTTATTCAAATCATCTATATATAAAAAGAATATATGAGACGTTATACACATATATATGAGACATTTATTGACGTTTGGAAGTAATTAAAGTATTGTTTACAGAATTCTGAAAATCGTTTTCGCTGGTACGGGCACACGGTCCCTTGAAACCGATAGAATTTTATTTAAAATTTAAGCTAAAATAAGGTTGCTATTTTATCTAATTTAAAGTGAAACCACTATTTTCACTTGAAATTATTCACTATTTCAAGTGAAACACTATCAAAAAATTTCACTTCATTAAGAGCACGGTAAATATTTAAAAAGCTGTACTGAAGTGTAAAATATCATATACAGATGACAGTATATTATTTAATTTCAGCGAATTCATTTATTTTGATATATTTTATGTTTGTCTTAGTATTTGTTGTTACTATCTTGTAATCTGAATTTGCATACTTCAAAATAAAAAATTAAACGCTGTGTGAAGCTTCTCTGCACTCCAGTTCATTTAGATTCATTCGTCACATTTCAGGATAGAGAAACACTTTTTTTTATTTACTTTAAAAGTAAAAAGTAGTTTCATAAAAGAACAATTAAATAGTTATTTAATCTTTTTTAAATATTAAAGTGTTGAAATTTATTTCAAAATTCCAGGTATTTAGTCAATTTTAACTGGGTTTAGGTAAATTAAAAATAATATGTGAAACTTCTGGTAACATTAGGACTCATTTATTTCTTAGACATCTATCGGAAATAAATTTAAATTACCTGCAATATTTTCAACGTAGTCTCCTACCACTGCAATTTAATTTTTCACATGGTCACGAGCTTCTGCCTTCAGACAGAGTAGAATTCTATTGCTTGATTTAGAGGGCCAAAAAAAGTAAAAAATCTCTCAGAATCCAAACAGGACTGTAGGGCGGGGGTTTCACTGCAACTAGTTTCTTCACAGTTTAGGCTGCTATATTGTCTCTCATATTTTCATGCATCAAAATGACCCATTTGTTGAACAATAGTGGCAAGTTTTCTGCGAATGGCCTCCATATTTAATCAGAAAGTTGTGTGGAGTAGTATCCGCCATTCACAGTCTCTCCTCTTTTGAAGAAATCGTCCTATTCGGTCCCAAACTACCATTGCTAACTTTAATCGTGGAGACTATGGTGTCAAACTTATAACGAGACGACGAATCTGCATTTTTCTCTTACATTGACGCTTTTAGTCAGTTGATTCAATCAGGCATGTAGTCATACATCCATGACTAAATGGCATAAAGCCAAAAATGACCATTTTGGCTTGCATACCGATCCAGCAGTTCTCGATAAATTTGAACTCTTGCAGCTTTTTGATCAAAATTCAACTGTTTTAGCACCCATGGAAGGGACTTCTACGAACGCTGAGATGATACTTTAATAATCACAAAACTATTGCTTATACTGACAGTAATCGCGACATCACGTATTCAGTTACGAGGTTATTCAGAATGAGAGTTCAATGCCAGGTACGGATTCACTTGCAGTGACACTTTTCGACCACGGACGAATTCCATCTTCGATGAATTAATGACTTTTACGAAAGCGTTCACTCCATTTAAATACCCATGGACATATTACACCCTACTCTCCAAACGTAAATGATTGAAGACAATGAAGTACAGCTGATTTTGGCCCTTCTTTCGCCAGAAATTCTATGATCATATATCGGTTCTTCCTTAGAATTAACTGGTCCGATGTCATCTTGAAATATACGGTGTAGGAAAGCAGCTGATATTTCTTACGTCCATAATTAATTCTGGAATTTATTAAAATCCATAAATTTTGTATTTGGGGTATCGGGCTAGAATTTGGAAATTTACTGGACGAATCTTGTGTTTTTGAAATCAAACATTTCTGTATCGAGGAACGTAATACAAATGGCGTTCAAAGAACTTTTATTAATAACAATATTGTTGTAAATATCATAAAAATATCCGCTGGATAAATTTAAAGAAAGTGTATCGATTAGATGTAAAATTAAAATATTAAATAAGTATTTAAATTACTAAGAACTGGATTTATTGTCAGTAAATTGATGAGTTTGTAAATTCAACTAATTAAGTTTGAAATAAAAACTAAACATCTTACGTTTTGCTAAATGGCAGCATTCGGAGAACTATCCATGCGGGAAGTTGAGCAGAAGATAAATTAAAGATCCTTAGGTTTCACGAAATGGCACCACTTTCCTCGTCTTGGGAGTGATAAATGTGTAATAGGAAAACATGAAAAACAGAAAATATTTTAGAAATGACATTTAAGTTATTTCTAAAGCTAACAAATCAAAATAAACTGTTATAGTTTAAATAATCGTACTATTTTGACACGTAATAATGATGTTAAAATTGAAGGAAAATCTAACACTAACCCCTCAGTGGGTTAATCACTATTACCTGCATCTACTCTTTGCTTTTATTTCGTTATTTTAAAATAAGTAAAATGATGAATGGATTATTTTCCATTCAAGAAAAGTTGCCTCATTAGCAGTCTAACGTGAAGTTGCATACAAAGGAAAAAAACTTCAGCATATACTTATTCAAATATCGTTCAATCTGGTTCAAACATTATTTTTGCTTATGTTTCAAAGCTTACAGCAATACTTACGGGTTTTTGCATATAATTGTGCCACGAGAGGACAGTGTACTGCTAACTTTGTTTTCAAAGAATTTCCTCTTACTTGTGACCAGTCGTGCAATAACCCTTTCTCAGAAAAAATTTTAATGCGGAAAGAAAGTTGCGTTTTTCAAACAACAAACAACAGGCTGATATACATTTTGGTCACAACGTGACTCAAAAATTCGTCAAAACTGGCCCGATGAAGGAAAAAACATTACTGGCGTATATTTTGATGACAACGTGACGCAAAATTTCGTTAAAACTGGCCTCGATGAAAAACAAATACCTTACAGCGTTTGTGTTTTATCTACATCTTTAAGTAACAAATTCTTCAGCCACCTCATGACCTATTTTTTAAATAATTTTCAGCATGTGTAGCACTATCATTTTGATTTTAAATCACCCAACCCCAAACAAGAAGATAGCAACTATAAATTTATGACAAAAACTTTCGAAATATATTTCTACTATTTTATCTACAAAAATGTTGAGATTTAGAAGCATTTTATTTTAAGATTATGATTGAAATAGTGCTATGATTGTTAATTCAGTTTAGGAATATTGCTCGAATTTTTTGCATGTATGTTAGCTTCTTTCGAGAATTTTCTCATATGAATGAATTAAATAATATACATTGTATGTGTAATAATAACATGCACTTTAAGACGTTGTCGAATGTTTTTCAACAGAGATAAAGAAGCAAAACAAATAACAATAAATGAACAACTTCCCTTTCAGCCAAGATTTCTTATCTTCCCGGTCTTCAAGTTTGAAAAATACTTTTTCATTATGTGCATATTATGCGACAGGAATTTTATACTGACATATTATGTAGTGTGCTATTTATGTCTTATGTCATATGTTTATAATGACATACTATATAGTGTCTTTGCATTATCAGAGTTACCATCGGGAGGTAGTCTTAAAAGTCCTATTTTGTAATTTTTTTATATTTAATTTCTACGTATTTATTTTTTGCACTCATCACTATTTATGAATAATATGCATTTATACATATATAATAATATAATGAATGAAATATATATATGTGAGTAACAATATTCCATTAATAAATAAGGAATATTTCCATTTCTATAAGCGCACCACATAAAGTTATTTTAATAAATATTCATAAATGTTTATATTTACTTCAGAAACGTTTTTCACTGTAATCTGTTCGGCCTTTTTCTAACTTTACATAATTTCTCATTCTTTTTTCGGAGGCCTATTCAATATATATTCTGTAATTTCTGTAATAAGTTATAATATCGCGTGTTTTCTTTGTGTGATATAAATTCCAAGATGTCTGTTGGCGACTTATTAATAAATTAATCTCCTTTATTATGGCTCACTTCTAACGCATTCATAGTCCCTTTCGATATTAGCAATGCCACATACATTAAATTTACCTCTTTGAACAATCACTAATCCGTTATCTAATTATTAAATTTACTAACTTGCACATTTTGGGGAGAATTTGCCATGTTGTTTAACCATGTTTATCAGAACTTTCGAGTAGTTTATGTCAATACCCATACAAAGATGCCTTATTTTTTTATTATTTTTGTTAATGTTTTGTTCTCTTCACATGTATTGACTGCAATGAAAATTACATCTTTTCATGACCGCGTTGGAAACGTTTTTCGCAAAACCAGTAATATATATGTGAGTACTTGATAAAAGACTCAGTAATGTAGTACAACAAATGAGTAGTATCAAGTAATAAATCTTCTCTTTGCAGAAATCGCCTTAAATACTTTAGTCATCATCATTTAGAAAGCAAGATTTAGCAACTTCCAATGAATTTAAAGAGAACTTTATATTATTTGAAGAAAAGGGAATCTTATGTTCTTCAAAATGCCTTGAAATGTCCGGAAAACGGTAGGAATTGTTTTTTCAATAATACTGTTAAAATCTGCTGCCCATAATGTAAACTGATTTACACCTTTGAAATGGACATCGGAATTAGTCATGAAGAGAGTGTAGTATTATTTCTGTGTATGTTGTTTTAGCATATAAAATTAAGTGCAAAAACGTATTAATATATAGCTTCGGGTAGACGCATTTTTCTTCAATGAAAACAATGAAACTTTTGGATTATAAATTTCGAAGTACCGATGATAGTGGATTTTCCAGTTCTTCAAGAAAAGATGCAATTTTCATTACAGTGTGTTTGAAAATAAACATAGACATTGTGTCTACCTTCAGTTATACCAATATGGGCAGTTAATCTAACTAAGCATGCTAGTCGGCTATTAAATTCTATACAGAGGATGTCTCTTCTTCACAGAAGCAGAAGATATCGCACATCACCAACAGCGACATTGCAAGTACTTACAGGTTTACCTTCAATTGACCTAGAAGCAGTACGAAAGGCCACTCTCTCTCGAGTCCTTCGTTTAAAAGTAAACAGTACCTTATGGAATCGCTCTTACTACCCTACTGATTATGAATCAAAAGTGTTAGATCTCCTTTCTCATCTAGCTCTGAATGACTTGCAGACAAGCATCAATACTAAGTTCATTAATTATCTTCCTAAAGATCTCACAATTTACACGGATGGTTCTAGACCAGATGCTGAGACAGGATGCGGATTATGTATTTTACAGGATAATGAGACTCGATTAAAATAATTCAATTTTCTAGGCAGAGTTAACCGCAAGTAAAAAAGCAGTCCTAATTTCGAATCGATTTTCAAATGGAGTTATAATTTGTACCGACTCACAATCAAGTCTTCAAGTCATTGCTGGAATACAATCAAGGAGCCCTTTAGAATTTTAAATTCAAAAACTCCTGCTCAGATCTCCGTTAGAACTAAGACCGACCTTTTGTTGGGTACCAGCACACACAGGAATAGTAGGGAATGAGCAAGCCGACAAATTAGCCAAAAATGCGGCTATGGGCATACATCTACTAGAATATGCACTACAATTTCCAGGATCATTCCTCTTAAGAAAGTGACATTCGTTAGTGTATTACAATAATGGCAGTTTCGCTGGAACGGTACAACAGATCGCAGAACATACAAGTTCATCCTCAAAATATCTACTAATTTATCTACGTTCTCTAAAAGAATCACGAATTATACAACTGGTCATGGACCTTTTATGACTTACTTGAATAGATTTGGCCTATCAGAGAACGACTTATGCAGCTGCGGTCATCAGGGATGACCTGATCACTATGCGTTTAATTGCGTACATACCAAAACTTTTCATCTACGACAACCTTCAGAACAATACTGGGCAAATTGGCTTAGCCAATTATTGAAATAAAAAGGATCATTAAATAAACTTAGTAACTGTATAAAAATTTGTTACAACTTAAATATATTTTCTTCCCCTGAATCAAATTTCAATTAGTAAGTTTTGTTGATTTCCCCTTTCTAATATTATTTTTCAGCAGTATACATTTTATATACTATCTTGTATATTTAAATTGCACTGACAAATTTTTGTAGCTCATTAATATTAGTTTGTATGAAAAGCTCATAGTTTTGTCCTTTAATGATATCAAAAGGTGTACTTCTTTAATTAGAAGCAATGTTAACTCTTCTCTTCACTCGGTTTTTTTTTTTTTTTTTTTTTTTTAAGTTTACAGTTTTTTTTGTTTATATTTTTCATGTATGCTTCCCCCTTTTTTTTTTTTTTTTTTTTTTTATTCAAAAATTAAATGCGCATAACTTTTCCCCTCTTTTTTACTACTTTGCAATATTCGCGCCGAGTTGCTAGAAATTTACTTTGAGTATCATTTTTTTTTATTTATATATTATTATTTTTTCTTTTTAAGTTTATATCATAAACACTTCAAGTATTGATTTATAATACTTTACATGTTGTTATTGAATTCCTGCGTCAAGTATATTTTTAAGTTATTAACGTATCTGTCATTTTACATATAGTATAACTGTTTCATTGAATCATTTCACGTTACGCTTTATTTGCTGTAATGTTTGTAAGATATCTGTAGAGTAAGTGAGGCACTGTTTTAAAACAACTAATGTAATCACCTAACACAATGTATTATCGTATTTTGGTTCACTCATATATCACCTATTTACATCAGTCTTAAATAACTATTTATGTGTTATAAAACAATTTGCATTACTACAGTTATTAAGTAAAACAACATAAATTTAATGTATCACATTTCACATTTAATCGTATTTAACTTATAGTATTATTCGTACTTTGTCATAGCTCTATCTCATAATATTAAGGCATTATACTATGGAATACCATTAAATTATGTATTCATGTAAATCTTATTACTAAATGCACTATATTATTGTACTATAATATTATACCACGTTTTGCTTATTGTCATATGTAGCATCTTATGCAAAATGTCCTGTAATCATTTTTGTAAAGTACTTTTCTGTGACATTATCCTGATTCAGAGCAATTAACGGCACTTGGTCTTTCAGCCATTGCCTTGTTGTGGTGGCTACCTGTTGTTTTTTCCACCGATCAGGCATCATTCCTATCGGTTTTACGTTCGGAAGCCTGGTCAGTGGCGCATAACCATAACCTTCAATTATAGAGATGATGAAGAAATAAGAGCATATATGTGCATGTTCGCATTGGATGGTATATGTGTGCTCCGCCTTAGCGGATATACTACACGATGCAGTTTGAGTACTCGAAAACCCAGATATATAAATAATTTGAAAAATCCTCCCTTTCACCCAAAAATGCATTTGAACTGACTAAGTCACTAATTGTAAAAATGGATCAGTAACTGGACAATGATGATAACGATGTTCTTTAAAATATTATAATGGAAGATACAGAACTATGAATGCGCTAGAAGCCTAGTATATTAAATTAAATTTAGCTGCTAAAACACTGCAACGAAATGTCTTAGAAGTTACATTATACTTACAGAAAGATGCATAATGTTATAACATATTGAGGAACAAACACTAAATGTTTCTTCAAAAATAGAATAAAAATTTACATAAAATTACCTAAAGTCATACAAATTAGAGTGACAAATTTGATTAAAGAAATGTAATTATTCGTGAAATATTGTACTTAAATTGTGTTATATTATGCATTTCTGGAGATAAAAATATTTTTCAGTTTAATTATTAAATTATTTCATAAAATAATTGTTTATAAAATATGATACGTATTGTGTATCACAATTCCCAAATGTGATAAGTGTAAAAAATAAATAAATTGAAATTAAATTTATAAAAAATTGAAGGCTTTTGACAGGAGACCTACTATGGTGTCCTCTGAAAGCTCAAAATGCAGCTATAATACGGAAAATTACGCTGAAAATTTATAATTAATATACTGTCTATGTCTTAATAAAAAAATTTCATTTCATGTAATATATATGTTGCGATCAAACATTTTTGAAATTTGAAAACGGGGAAATATTGCGAAGTCTTTGCTGAATGTGTGTTTCATTTACTTGCACTTGTTTTCCTTCTTTATCTTTGTAAAGAGAGCATTCGGCACTCAATTGAGAACATTTCCCGTTTGAAGAAAGAAACAGGAAAACCTCAAATGAAACATCACCGTTCGTAAGACTGACTGCATATGATAAAAATCGATTGTGTATGACCTACTGTAGGAATCAATTGAAAGTAAGACACATCGCAAGATTATAAGCAGCATCCAATTAATTGGATTTCCTGAATATCGGATGGGCTGCGGTTACATCGATATATTCCAGATAGTCTGAATTTTCGATTTCTATTATACTCTATTTACATCTTTTAGTAGAATACTAAAATATATTACTTCTTTTAGTATTCAAGAAAGTTTAGAATGATATTAAGTATGACAAGGGTTTGTTTTTGTCATCCTTTATCATTCTCATTCAGTTTTATTGTGATACAAATTATTATTACTAAAATATAACTATAACCATACTTACTGTTATTCTTAAGTCTGCTGTACATATTAACTGTATTATAAATGATAAAAAGCCATAATAATTATGAAGGTGTTTTTCCCCTACGCAACATTTCACTCACTAAAGTATGAATAATGGCTTAAAAATGATACTGTACCCTAAACATTGGTCAAACACTTTTCATCCATAATTTTAATCCAAAATGGCTGTGATCTTCAGTTTTATCCATTTTTCTAGCTCTCCAAGGTTCTCCACGAACTCATATGACATCGAATAATTAAAATCTGCTATTGAAAACATATAAAATGCCTTATGATATCCAACAGTGGTGCTAAAAACAAAGTTTTAAGTGAAATGGTTGCAGTGACTTAGTTAATAAGTACGATCTCTAGAATTCAGTAGTTAGGCACATTTTTAGAGCAAATGCAATCTGTGTTCTGAGTGCAGCATCTTACTTAACATTTTCCTCTTATTATTTTTTAGCCCCAGGAACATCCTCTGAAGCAAAATAAACAGACTTTTAAAGTAGCACGCGGTCTGAACACGTGTTTTTGCTAACCAACGTGACGCTTGTGATTGCCAATCATGCCCCGGGTCACCGTTCTTCGGCCGCGGGACGAAGAAAAGCTCAAATTAATTATGAATGCTCTATGTATAAGAAAAAAAAAAAAAAAAAAAAACAGAATGAACTTTCAGAAGCCTAAAGCAATAAATGTCTTTTGAATTAATTCATAATAAGAATCTTGCTGAAAAGTCACTAATGCAGAATAAAAGAAGATCAATTATAGCTACTTCTCAGAACTGGAATTTTTTCCTTTTTCAGCTTGTTTTATTTTTTAAAACCAATCAAAGTCCCCCCCCCTTTTTTTTTTTTTTTTAACTGCTAAGGAGGACTACTGACCGGGAACAAGCCCTTGCAGTATGATGTCCGCCCTGCAGACATTTATTAAATCTAAATTAAAAAAAAAAAAAAAAAAAGATTACAGAATCACATCTAGATAGGGAATACAAAGGACTACCTTGAATACATATAACATTCCTGATAGCATAGATTAAAAAAAAAATACTTAGAAGTACATAGCTGCATTGATACAAAACTGGTAAAGGTAAAACAAAAACAGTAAAATTTAAGACTAACATTGGAATTTCAAGCCTGCAGTTATACATCACACTGGCTTACTATATTATACACTTACTATAATTCCGCACATTACTAAAAAAAGGAAAAAAACATTTTATGCAATATATTACCATAATACTGAACAACACACTAACATAGTAAAACTGATACTACAAATAAAACACACCATATACACTGCTCGTATCAGAAAAGTACACATTGACATAGTAAAGCTGATACTACAAATAAAACACAACATATACACTGCTCGTATCAGAAAAAGTAGACAATTCTGTACATGATGCTATACTGTAACGCTAAAACTAATCAAAAGAACACTAGACAATAACCTTTGGAAACAGGCACAGTGAAATTAGGAATATAATATATTGTAGCAGAGGTAGAATACGAGTCATTTCAAAACATTAAATCCAGCAAAATATTTCAATACATATTTACAAAGTTCTACAACCAAGAAAGTCTGGTTCAATACTACTATTATACATCACACTTACTTATCATTATACAACCCTAAACTATTACACTCCACATTACTAGAAAAAAATTATACAAGATACTTAATGGAATACTGTACATACACTGAAATAAAATGGCGAATACTACAGAATAACAATCAATATACAATGTGCTTATCATAAAGTTGGTTCTGCGGCCACGAATATTTGTTAGAGACTTTTGCATTTTACACAATACTAGAAACTGTTACAAAACATTTGCACACAATATGTCATGGTACTAGCCGACAGCTCTATATATGTATTTACTATTATACCGCAAACTTAATTTGAAAACATAACACAACGCACTTACTACTTAACAGGTCAATACACTAAGACAATATGTAAATTGAAATACACAGAATACAATACAAAAATTAAGTAAACACAATAAAATTTAAAGATTAATAATGAATAGAAGCGACACTGAAGTACAAATAGACAGACATTGATTGTGGTAATCTGCATCTAGGAGGTAACATGTTCCAGCAAAGTTATTCATGTACTGCACTAAACATGGCTGTCATGCATATACGTAACATAGGTACAATGGCATGCCATTAGTCTCTGAAATTGTCCTAATTTCAGTAGTTGAATATTATCGTATATAGTAAGATACCAAATTTGTAAGGTAAGAATTATGAAAGCTACTGATCTTCTATAGTTGTTGGTATAGAATTGCCTGCTGTAGCTGCTGTTGACACCGCTTCTGTTCAACAGAATTCACGAGCACAAATGTCCATTACTCGATGAATCTGATTAAATGCGAGCTTACTTCTCTTGAGGGTGTCTGACCACCCGGACCAGTGTGCTTCAGAGGGTTTTTTTTAAATGAAATGGTATCGTGAGAGAGCATTCGAAAGCAAAGTGATCCGGATCACCTAGTGTTCCACATCTACAACTGTCTGAAGTAGCTAATCTGAAGCGCCGTAAATAGCTTGGAAATGGTCCGTGTCCAGTAAAGAAATGTGTAAGATGAGCACTACTAGTGACCAGATTCAGACCAACTTTGGGGAAGAAACGAAAGGTTCTGCGGCTTGTGGTGGAGTTATTCCATCTCTGTTGCCAAACTTCTAACATTTTGAGTTCGGTAATCTTTTTAAATAGGAAATTGGTGCTTTTAGGGGTGTTACAGGCATATTCAAGTCGTTAGCTGCTAGCTTAGCAAGCAAAGTACTGTACAAAATACTTTGAACTAGTCAATACCGATTACAAGTCATTGAACACTTGTAAGCCCGAACTGGATTCAGGCAGGAGAGGCTGGCTACATTTTTCTTGATGAGTAACATGGACACAAGACAAGCCGGAATTAGAAAGCTGTCTGCCTCCCTCTCTGTCTGACGGTCGGCAATGCTCCCACGTTGAAAGGCTGGCATTCGAAATGCTGAGTAAAGATGCATCTTTGTTACTATCGGTATACGAGCCTTAATGGGAGGAATATGAACAGTTAAAATCCATCGACTCAGTGATTATCTCAGAAGTTTGTTGGAAGGAGAAAAAGATTTTTAGGCTGTCAGTTTCCATTTCCTTATGTTTTTTCGATCAAAAGGAAGGCGACTATATGTCCCATTTTGAGTATAATAATGCTTTATTGCTACTTTCCGTCGTTTTAGTAAAAACCCCGGTTTTATCATTTCTTTTATAAATACAGCAATGTCCAAAAGTTTAAAAAGTAGTTCGCGCCGCCCGACCGGTATATTGGTTAGCATCACTGATTGCCGTGCCGAAGGGCTTGGGTTCGAATCCCGGAGAAGGCATGGATGTTTGTAAATGTATAATATCCGTGCGGCATTGGGGCACTCTAAATATGCGGCAAGTCGAAAGTCCTCTCGAGAGGTTGTGGTAGGGGAAGAGGAGTGGGAGAACCTCGGACCCGTTCCCCAGGGGAGCTTTCCGGCAAAATTAGGGGCGGAACTGAGCTAAATCCCACCGTCACCTGTAAGGTGCTCAAGGCTGTTGCCAACGACAGGCGTAAACTTGCGCTTCTTGCCACAAGGAATTTCGTGGGTCACCATAAGTCAGACAAGTGAGCATTTTAGCAACAACAAACAATAATAGTTCGTTCCTAAACTGACGTCTCCACAGGCAGAAAATTTATACAGAGAGGGTGGTACCACATAGTTAATGTTCAGCAATAAAGTGGAAATCATAATCATTTTTAGTTAAAGAAAATTTTAATATGAATAGCATTGGAATATATGCCAAACTGTGTCTGATATTTACATTTATAAATATTCACAAATATATGTAATTTACTTCACAATTAAGAAATTAAATGACTTTAAATCCCGTATCGATATCCGAATCCACGCAGACCTCATTTTCCATTTACATTCTTAGTAGATTTAAAGTACCCTTGTTCTTTCATTATTTTCCTGATTTCTGCTACTTGCTGCTTCTCCGAATAAGTATTTGCAACGATTCAATGAGATCTAACTTTACGACAATTTGACAGCGTCCCATCTCCCACACAGTACCCGTGAAGGATTAAAGTTTTATGATTTTTTGCCTTGTCCCGAAGTGAGAACTGAATTAATTGAGTGAGAAATACATCTCTAATGAAATTCAAGGAAATAAGTGTTTCATATTAGCATAAAATACTGTCGCCAGTCTGTTTCGGACAGAGGAGAATGTTTGCGAGTAGTGCATACGCATTAGATAAGCGGTGCTGAATAGTCTGTGAAAAACTGTTTATTTTTTATTTGTTTAATTTCTTTTATACATCGTTTTAGATTTATTATAATATTTGAATAGAACATGTAGCAATGATTAGATAATTCCTCAGATAATATAACTTTTTTTGCATTCTGAGTTATGAATGAGATGCAACTCTGTTAAGTGAACCTAGAGCCAGTGTATCACTATGGTAAATAAATATAGTGAATTTTAAAAAGCGCATTTATTCTATTGTGGTTCATGCGCTATCGACCACAATAGCACTGGTTCATGCGCTAGCAGATTTAATTCAATAAGTTTAAATCAAATGAAGGATAAAATGCGTATAATTTAATATTCCGTACAAGAAAGTCATGTTTTGTACACATTAGATTTTATTTATTATACTAATGATTCAAATGTCTGTCATTAATTACAATATTTGAGAAAATAGTATTATAATAGTTATTAGTATGAGTATTATTATAAACTACATAATTATAAGTTATATGAATTTCCATTTCTTATAAATTACGTGTTTTAATACTGTTATTAATTTAACATATTTCTTTGATCATAATAGTAAAGTACATTGAACTAGATTGGAAAATTTAATACAGGTAAGCGGTGTGCCATCGATTATTCGGCACCAAAATTTGTTAAAAATATGCTAGAAATATTTTTATTAATGTAAATGATTGTAGAAATTATTAGTTAGATACTGTTACGTTCTACGAGTGCCTGGATTTGGAGTGATTGACGATGAAGTATGAAAACGCAATTTATTATCCAGTATTACTCAGGTCAGCTCCAAAAACACGTTTACAGTCGTCGAAAAACTACGACAAACACACTGAAACAATCATCAAAATGCAGCAACACAGCCTTCAATTCAACGGTGAAGACAGCGTCACGGCAAAGCACTAAAGTACAACTCCCGATTCGGTCGATCGCTCTCGGTGCTCGAGACACTACTATTGAACTCAACGTACTCTTCAAGATACTCTGACGATACACTGCTACCCCGTGTACAGGCAAGGTTTATATAGCTTTTGACCAGCCTCCGAGAACATTCTAGGGTAAACCGGTAAGAATTCGTTGTAGAATGTTCTCGCTCCGTCTA